TAATAATAATAATAATAATAATAATAATAATAATAATAATAATAATATAAACTTAATTTTGTGTGTACTTTACTGTGTGTGCAGGAGAACCTCATAAAAGTCCTTTCTCTTTGAAAAGAGGAGAGGCAGTTGGGAGCTCACAGCCAGAGGCATACAGGAATGGCAGATTTTAAGAGGGAGCCTGTGAATTTGTGAAACTGATTAGTTGCATTTGTTTGGCAAACTGGGTGAGGTTGGACTTTTTTATGTTGAGTGAGTTGTGTACTTGCTTGCTTATTGAGAGCATGGACTTGGTGGAAGGGGTGCCTTATAGTTACAGCTGATTCACTGGTTAGTTGATCAGTCAACAGCTTAGTCCCAGCCAACACTGTTTGGAAAGAGGAAATATAATTGGAAGCTTGTGACCAAGAGAGCAAATTAGAACAGGTTTGTTTTGTTTTTTGCAAAGGAGTTTATTGGGACAGAAGAGTGGGGAGGAATTATTTCCTGTCTCTGAGACTAAGCATTGAGGTGTAGAAGCCAGGACTCCAAACTTAGTAAAAATATAGTGTAAGGGCTGTCTTTTAGGTTAGAGCTCCAAGAGAATAAGAAAACCAAGATGATAATGATGACGATGATGATAATAAGCAGTAGTAGTAGTAGTAGTAGTAGTAGTATGAAGGTAGAATGGCAGTTGGGGGATTTATTATATAATTGCAAATGCCTGCTGGACAAACATTGTAGGTTAGTAGGTAGGGTAGTGAGTTGCTGGCTCTCAGGAAATAAGTCCCTTTGGAACCAAGGTGGCTGAATTAGAGATACTTGAAGTGTTGGAGAAGTATGTGAACAAGGCCTTTCAGGTTATAATGACCTCATCCCACTCCCACCTTACTTGCTATCAAGGAGTTACTCCCATCCTTGAATCATGAATTTAGATCCTCTTGTCAGTAGGCTCCTCTGGAGAGCTGAGGGCTTTTATAGTTGTAGATAATTTAATCTTTAAAAGCTATGCAGGTGGAGTTGTGATGGTCATTTGTATCATATGACGACTTTCTGCCTAGTGTGAAGTTTGCAGATGACACACACAGACTAAATAAGCTGCAAAATAGTGCTGGACAAGAAGCAATGATTTTGGTCCATGCTAACACCATGACATCGGAAAATGTACTGTAGTTGGAAGACAAATTTAAGTTGCTGCATAGCATATTAAAGCCCAGGACTATAGCATTCTCAGAAATGCTTCTTGTTTCATAGCAGGGCCAAACTAGACAGGCTTGGATGTATGAGTGAGATAGTGGTGGCAATCAGAGGAGTTTAGATTTCTTAGGCACTGGGGGATGTTTTGGCATAAGCCAAGCTCCATTATTGAATTATATGGAAGTGGACTGCTATTATGAAACTTCAAAAAGGTTTCAGAGCAGCTTTTAAGATGATATCTGAGTGAAAAACAGCAGGTGCTCTGCAGTATCTCATTTGGAACAGTAGAGATGTTTCAGATACTTTTTTTAAAAAAAGAGGCCTGGTATTAAAAGGGTGTTCTTGTCATGGGTGGACAGCACCAGATACATAAAGGGCATGAAAAAGGCTCATTCCAACCAGATTTGAAAAAATAACATGGTTGTAGATATTTCTGTACCAATGTTAGAAGTGTCTGAGCCAAAATGGGGTTAGACTACCTGATGTGAAGAAACACATAGAATATAGTGAGTATAGCAGAAACCTGGTGAAATGGAGAGAATCAGTAACATACCATCGTTCTAATTTAATA